TATAGAAGAAGTAAAAGTAGCAACGATAAGTTATACTTATTTTTCATTAAATTTATATATTAAATATTTTCTTTCCTGGTCTTCAAAGTTGCAAATCTGTCAAACACTTGATCAAATTCAATATCCTTCACCGTGCCACTTTCAACTGATGGTAGAGCCAGATCAGAAAGCCTTGACTATCCCATGGCGGGTCGTAAATAGGTCTTAGTTTGAAAAGCTCCGCTCACGTGAAGCCACATACATACAGATCGTAAGACAATTGAAGGCTTAGCGAGAGTATTGCAAGAGATTCTGGGAAGTCTCATTCAGCTATGAATTTCAAAACATCAAATACTGACAAGTCCTTGAACTTGTGAAATTCAATATAAGCTGCCTTTAGTATCTTCTAAGCCTAGGTATTTCTTTTAAACGTTCATCCTCTGGTAACTCATCATAGAAAGATGTTAATTTTGGAACGGACATCAATAACTCTTCGTCACTTGCTGATAGTAGACTCTTGAGTTGAACAGCCCCAAATACATCTGCTACTTCCTTGGTCAATGATGATCTGATCCGGAGTTCAGAATGAAAGCGAGCAATGCCTACTCGCATCTCCTTCTCTTTTCTTCTCGTGGAGAGAGTCCAGCATATATTAATTGTCCTCCTTTCATTCTCTTCTTAAACCTATGCGTTCTTTCTACCGAATTTCCATATAGTTCTGATTTTAAAAGTACATTTTCAATAGCATGTCCCACAAAGTGAGAGCGCTTCTCGTGCAGAAATAATCTTATTAAGGCCTCTAGGTTGGTCACCAATTTGTCAAGACTAAAGCCTTTAGTCTGCAGATGCTGCTGTGTAAGATTAACTTCCGCAAGTGGATCATCCCAAAGGTAAAGGTAGCAGATAAGCTTGAAATCTCACGCAGCATTTAAAAGTCCTTGTGCTGTATGACAATCGTGTTCTAATGTTAAGAGGTTGTGCTAATGAAGAATCGGCGAAAATAGTTATTGTTGAGTATTTGGGTTTCGATAGATTTGGTTTCAAAAACATTTTTTAAAAAAAAATTAAATAAATTTAAATTAAGGCTGCGGCTATTCTGAGCCGGGTCCGAGAAGTGAGAGGTTGGGTTTATTAAATTTAAAAAAATATATATATTATTGTTGGGTTTTTAAGATAAAATTTGGTATCGAATGAAAGATGGTTGAATTGACTATATGTTTTTGTAAACCTAATTATTCAGTTTAACTAAAATAAACCACCACAAATGACATCCGAATAGCATTAGGTCTAATGGGACCCTGGTCCGAATAGCATTAGGTCTAATGGGACCCTGGTCCGAATAGCATTAGGTCTAATGGGACCCTGGTCCGAATAGCGGCGATGCGTATCCGGTTCCATTTTGACTAAATAGTGCTCTAATCTATTTAGCGACAAAAGCGTAGGCCTAGATACTACATAGAATAGTGAGCTCTTTAATCTATTTAGCGACATTCATAAAAAATTACAGGTCGATAAATTTGAATATATATTTTTTCAAGATATAAACGATGATCCCATCCTCTTAGCCTATCAGAAGAGAATTATGTTGTTTTTTATGGCATCTATGAATTTAAATGTAACGGTTATTTAAATGTTAAAGCAGTGTTCGAAAGGACGAAAATTCCCATTAAGATTTTCGGCCGATGTGTTTCATAGGTTTGATTTCTATTGCTTTAAACTTTAGACTAATAAATATCAAAGAACGAACGACTTTGTACTTACGTGCAGACGTGTATCGGGGGAGTTCTCTCCCTTTGCTAATGGCACAAACCGTCCCGTCCCAGTCAATCAAACACTCGATCGATCTCCCCCCGTATCGATTACCGATATCTGGAAGTGGTTTCGCGTGGTTCTTGTGTGACTACAGTGAGGGATCGTTAAATCCATTTGTCGTCTGCAGTGTTCTGTGTTTGTTTTTTTTTCCTTTTCTTATTCCCTGGCTGCTATTTGAACACGGAGCTTGTACACAACATGTGTTTTAAAAAAAAGGTGGTAAAGGTGTTAAGGCAGGCCTTGGGGGAAAAGATGGGGGCTGTGGAGCGAGAAAAGAAATAAAGAGAGAGAGAGAGAGAGAGAGAGAGAGAGAGAGAGAGAGAGAGAGAGAGAGAGAGAGAGAGAGAGAAGGAAGGGGGCAGGTGGATACAAACGTAATAAGAAAGCATATTGATCAGGGTGGAGGTTGATTAGGGTAAAGGTATTTCTTAACTAAAATTTTGTCGACGACGATGGCCGATGGGAGTTGGACACTTGTGTAGGCCTCGTAGTTTGCTTGAGTCAGTTTCATAACAGAACTCAGTTAAATACACGAGGGTGTCACCAGATCAGGTTTTCACCAAAAACAGTGTGTCACCAGATCAGGTAAATTCTTAGAAGACCCATGGGGAAATCTGGGGGGTGGTGGGTTCACACCATGGGTTTATCACACCGGGTAACACCCATCCTAGTGACGCCCCTGACGACTCATCCAAACATTGCTATGCTATACAAGTTTCAAGATTTATTACACAGTACCTGATGAAAGGCGAATGTCTCCAAACATGCAGAAAACGTCATGGAAAAAATTAGAATTAGTTTTTAATGGATTCTAGTGGACCGTAAACTTCTGCAGCAACACCCCAATTATAATATTTTTAGATTAATGACGTTACATTGGAGATGGCGTCGGTAGGTCGTCGAGCGTGAGCTCTTAATACCCTCCCTCCCCGCACACCTCCACACATGCCGACGCCGGGTCTCCCCATCGCAAGACCGTGCGGAAGTACGCTAGGAACCTCCCCCCTGGCCTGGGGGACGTCCGGTCGACTGAAAACGCTGCGTTTAAAGCGTTCGCGGTTCACTCTCCTTGGGTCTGGACGGCTTTGCTTCCTCTTCGGGGAAAGGTGTTGCGTTAACTCCCCCCACCGCCCAGAGAGTTGTCCGGTCGGGACGTAGCGGGGACGAAACGGTCGCCTAGGAGCGGCTTTCTCAGGGCCGCGTAGCTAAAATCATTGGCAAGGGTTTTGACCGTCACCCAGGCCTCATATCCATTATCGAAAAAAAGTCACATGTTATTGCGTTTCTTCAGTTGCGTTGGAAGTCATGCAAGTGACCGGGATCTTTTAGCTTCAGGAGGAAAACCTCCTTACACGCCGCGAAGAGGCAAGATGCCATGTGACACCGCCGAGTCGCCTCATTGGTGCTGGACTTTGGCCTAGAGACGTTTGGCCGCCGTCAAAGCATGTAATGACAAGCGGTTTAATTGAGATACATTTCATTCTGATCCTGAAATGTTTATTTTTAAAAATAATATTTAAATAAGAAATTCTACAACTTAAATTACCCGGTCACATTCAACCAATGAGCTTTTAAGACGACAGACGATGACAATCTCAAAAATAAACTTTTGATAGATATGAAATGTTTTAGAAGCATTCTTGGAATCGGCTATGCTATAGGCATAGAGACCATGTCTCTAACGAACAAGTCAAAGAAAAAAATCGTCAAGCAATGGGGCAGTACGATGACCTCCTGGTGACTATAAAAAAGCACAAATTGGAATGGTATGGCCACGTGACAAGAAAACAATGGCTTGCCAACGAAATCTTGCAGGGCGCAACGAGATGAGGGAGAAGAAGAGGAAGAGAGAGAAAAAGATGAGAAGATAACATCAAAGAGTGGACGGGACTAAAGTTAGGCGATGCTGTGCGAAGTGCAGAAAACAGAGAGGAATGGAGGGGGGTAGTTTTCATGTGATCTGTGGCGTCCCAACGGTTCAAGGACTAAGGGACATGATGATAAATTATCGTAATAATAAAGACGAAACCCCATTGTCATTCTATCGCATTCCTTTATTTATTAACCCTTTCCTTAATGTAAACTGGCATTCTTTGTAGTCAATTTTCATTTATACATTTCGATCCATGACTCATATATAGAATAACCCTGTGCGAGTCGGGAAATTACAATGATCTCGTCGTTTTCAAAAATAAGTTTTGACAGGAAATTAGCTGGGATTCGAATCTTACTAAAACGCATTGTTTTAAAAACGATTTAAAAAAATGAATTTACTAAATGTTAATGTTATTAATTATTGTTAATTCGTCATTATTTAAAATAATAATTTTGCTTACTCAACTTAGAGAGCAATGCATCGAATGTAAATCTATTAATATTGAAAGGGAGAGAAAAAGGGCCGCAATATTTAAAATAAGAAATAAATTCGGTACAGTCTAACTTTTTAATTTTCTATTTTAGCCATCCATCATGTTTCCGGGTTTAGTACCTGGTAGCCTGGTATATGATGGCTTACGGTGTTGCACTCAAACCAGCAAATGTTTTTTTTAAGCTCGAAACACAACTAATTTTGAGTTTGGCACATATTTCATTGTTTCTACTCGCGGTATATCAAGGAAGTACATTGCTTCTTAATGGGAGTCGCTTAGTCACTTCTTTGTTTGGTCACGTGATGAGAGTAAGCCCTCACTAGGCTGCTACACACAACAAAAGATACATTGTCAGTGCTTCCCCAATGTCATGTTGCTTAAAAATTTTACCTTTCAAAATATTTTGGAATACACGCGTTTTGTAAATGAAATACATAAATGTGACAATAAATATACGTCAGTTATGATTAAAGGACGAAAGTAATTTCAGGAAAAATGTGTGAGTGATATTTGATTGGAACTATCAATACCATCATCGGCAGGCTGTTGTTGAGCTCCGTGCGTGCCCATGACATCATTTGCGTGTTTATTCAATATTTGTGCAGGAGTTATTCCCTTTTGTTTATTTAATTGTTAATTTTCATTGGACGAAATGTCGGCATACCCATGACGTCATTTGCTTGTTTATTCAATATTTGTGCAGCGACGGAATATTTTAATAACCGGTTTGAACAAGATTTCATGTGAATAATTAACGAAGGTCTACTTTGTCAAGCCATTGTCTTAAATTTTCTTTATCCTTTAGTGGAAACTTATGCAGACTTATACCGCTGTCCTTAACTTTACTGTTTGAACAGCCAAAAGCCTAACATTGCCTAAACATCTTGAATTACTAGTTGTAGTGTATAACGGGCTACTGTTGTCAAGCACTAGTGTGTTGTATGCAGCCTACCGGAAGTCTTACTCGTTTTTACTCTCATCACGTGACAAATCAATCGACTAAACGACCCCCATTACTACTAGGTATAATTGTAACACTAGTTATTAAGTGGATACACATTTTGTTACAAAATAAAATTAAAATGAGCACAACTGATACAAGAGTTTTCTGGTGTTTGTCTTCGTTGACGTTTTTGAAAACTTTGACTTTGATATCACTTCTTGTTTATATTAAAGGTGAGTATTTACATAAAATTTAACAATAAACTTTTACTATATGATATATGACGTTATTCGTATCAATGTAGACTACGCAGATTTAATAAATAAAAAATTAGACATTAGTCATTAGTTTAGCCTAACCTAAATTAAAAATGAAAAGATTGTAATTGATTGTTTTAATTTAGTTTTAGACTTGATTTAACTTAAGTCTTAAGATTTATTTGTTGTTTGATTCAGAATTGAATTTAAGTTTAAGAATTGGTGTCATGCTTAGTTTAGTAGCCTAATTATTTGTCATATTGTAATGTCTTACCCTTAGACAAAATAAGACAATATCAATAAATATTAGTTATTAGTCACTATGTACCCGTCTGATCCCCTTTCTTAACCACAGAAGTCCAATACTTTAAGTTAATTAATTAAGGAGTAGCTAGTGAGCTACTACTACTACTCTTTTTTGACTTTCAGTTATTGTTTTTGAGCACTTTGTCTCAATTCAAATGTCACAATTTCTAATTAGACTACAGACAATCCACAATGCAGAGCAGGCAACACATTTTAGGATTGTTTCTAAAAAAAAACATTATATTAATTATTAATCTTTTGTTTTCCTGAAAATAAGACTATTTCTAATACTTGAAACAATTATCGGTTGATGTTCACAAAGCGGTTTTCAAATTATTTTTATCGTGATATAAAAACAAAAAGAGGAAAAAATCTAGATTGTTAAAAATGTATAATACCATAGTAAAAGTATTTTTTTTAGTATATTTATATAATAAATTATATTGATTTATAATGCATAACCTTGCATTGGCGATCTGTATTGGTATCAGTTAAAAACCTGATGTGACTGGAGTTTTTTTGTTAGGAAAAATAGTTGTCATGTTTTTGCTAGCACCTATTGTGCAAAGAGACAGCATAAAGAAAAATTTACTATTTGGTTAAGTACATGAAGTGGACAGTAAATCCCCCCCCCCTCCTTCTCCAAAATAATTTCCCGAGGCTCCATACTCCCTTGGATGCAGCTATCTTACAAAATGTCTTGTTCATCTTACATGGCTGTGAGGTAAACTTTGTAAAGCATTTCATAGGTGTCAAGTTCTGGGGGAAAAGTGTGGGAACATAACCAAGACATCCCCCCCCCCCCCCACTAAAAGCTGATTAATCAGCAATTAACGATAATTTGCCAATTAATGGTGCAACCCTAGTTATTACTATTTCACAACGCATAGTATAAGTTATTTTATTAAAATCGATGGTATGTAAACGTATCATTTGTATCATTCTTTCAGTATTAGGTTTAGAGATTGACATTGGAAAAGATCCTTCATATACACACTGCATTACAAGTAATGAACCTCTTCAACTATTAAATCCATTTTTGGAAGAGCTTGGTTCTGATTATGAAGCTCCTAACAATGATCCAAACTTTATCTCTTTTGAATGGGCCATTCTTAAACCAGGGCAAGGCAGTAGAGATATCTTACGTATTACAAGAGAACCTGAAGTATTGAAACCTGGATATAGAGTATATAAATTGTGGAGCTTGCAGGTGAGGCCCTGGTTCATTAATTCTTAGGGTTCTTATGATTATGAGTTAATAAAAAATTATTCTTAGATAGCAGAAGAAAATTGCAATTATTATTATATAAAATATTTTGGTATTACAGAAATAGAGATTGACATGATGTTCTTTTGTTTCTTAAAATTCATAATAGCTGTGCTCTGACATGCGCAACTATTGTCTTATTGTTATTTTTTTTTCCTCAACAAAATGTCAATATGTTTCCATTATCCTCAAAGAATAATGCTAATTTTCAGTCTTTCATTCGATAATTCCTATTACTTAGATTAATAATGTTGAGGCTGATGACACTGCAACGTACATTGCAAGACTGACTGTGGTTGGTCCCAAAAAGATTATAAATTTTAATTTAACTGTTGCAAGTGAGTAGCCCTACTTTCTCACATATTTTCATTTACTAATTATATTTACAAGAACAGTGCTGTTAATAAAGTTAAATCTAATGTGTTATTGTAGCTAGTCTTAAATTTGATTTAGAAGGTGAGACTTCATTTTTAAATAATTAAATTGACTTTCTGCTGTTTGTACCTCCAGTACTTTTTAAAATCAGAAAATGTGTTCACGTTTCCATACAGTTGTTTTTTTAGGTTGCAATTTCTTCAGTATCCTGTCATAATATTTTGAAGAATTTTTATCTGAATTTCATTTCTAATTCCTCTTTGCTTAGAAGCTCCTGCACTTAAATCTGATAAGATAACAGTGACCAAGCAACAGAATGAAGTGGCAGGAACAGTCACGTATAAGTGTGGACAAATTGCAGATTTGGGGACACCACCAATCATCTTTTATTGGAAGGTACTGCCTCAACCTTTATTTATTTACAACAGCCTTAAAAGTGAATGATTCCATCAGTCAAACTTTATGATGGCTTGTTTTATTTCACGAACCGAAGAAGAGAGTCCCGGCATCAGAGATCAGAGCAAGGGATTTATATCAATTTATTTTGGGTGGGGCTGCTGCTCTGGGTCCAAGAAATTTTGTTTATTAAAAAGAAAAAAATAATATTAAAATATATTTAACGAAAAGTGCCCAGTTTTTATTTATAAACGGAGAAATAATTTGGATTAGGTAAAAAATTTTTGGTTTTCTTTGTTGAAATTTAAAAAAAAACAAAAATATTAGTAAATCTGTATTAAAATAATAATAATAAAGTTCATTTCAAAAACACGCTTCATCGCCAAAGGCTCGAAGCGCGGTACAAAGTCAACAAAAAACAAATCTATAATTTACCACATTTAAAACAAACGCAACACTATAAAAACTAATTACAAGCATGCAATGGCAAAGTCTTTCTAGCCATTTCAACCCGGAGCAACACAGCCAATATGCATTAACTGGAAAATAAGGTAGACAATCATCCCAGAAGGTGTTTGCGAAATTAGATGTGTCTTTAAATCGGTTTTAAAGGACTCCAGTTTCTGGTTGTTTCTGAGATCGACAGGAAGGGCGTTCCAAATTGTTGGACCAGCAAATGCGAAAGTGCGCTTTCCGTAAGTCTCAAGGCAAACACGTTGTGTCGAGAGTTTGCCACTATCGGATGAGCGGAGCTCTCTGGTGGGTACATAAGGCGTTAGCAGCTCTTTCAGCTAATATTGTACATTAAACTTTTAAAATAAATTGGGCCAGTCTTAATACAATTTTTTAGTCAAACCAAAGAATCGTTGACCAATAAATTCACAAAGAGTCACCTATAAAAGTTTCATCTTTGTGAGATGCACTGTGTGGAGGAGCATTTCCTTGTTGTGTTGCAGACCTAAAGATTGAGGAGCTATTTTAAGTTTTCGGGGTATAAATAAAAGCTTGCCCAGCACCTGCACCAATATATAAATATTATGAACATTCGTCATCACACCAGTCTTTTTTAAAGCTGCCATCAACAAAGGCATGACTTCATAGCAAATACTGAGACAAAGACTTTCAAGACTAAAAATAATATGTGCAATGTTTCAAAACAAATTTCCATTTATTTGGATCAATGAAAGCACCTTATCCTATCATATCTTATCATATATTATCTTACATATAAGAGAAGGAATTGTTTCACATTCCTACTGGCATGAGGTTGAGAATGAAAGATATTATTTTGTAGCAAAGTAGCACATTGTCCAATTTCTGAGTGGGGATCATTACGTCGTCATCATTTCACTACAACCAATCAACATGGTTACATTTACAGGAAATACAATTCATCTCAACCTTGTGACTTTGCTGAGCCCATTGTTTTTTTTTGTTGCTGTTTTTAAAATCATGGAATGAATAGGGATGGCAGGGTTTAATTAAAATATTATGAATATTATGTTGTTGTTTTTTTTATGTTTTTAATGCTCTGCTTAAACGTAAGCCATGGTCAAAGCTTACATCTCTCATTTTTTCTTAGAACAAACGCTTCTTGTATTCTTGTATAATTTTAAAAAAATAAAAAAAATAAAAAATAAAAAAAAAAAAACACTACTTAGCCCCTTTCTAGGCCACACTATTCTTAGTTCCACACAAAGAGGAAAATGTAGTTTGAAAAGATTCAGTGGCTGAAGCTTTACCTAATCTTTATAACGTACTTCCGGCTAGCAACAAGATGGCAGCCTTTCAAAGTTTTCTTCTTCTTCTATATCTTAAGGGCCCACGATCAATTTAATGAGCATTTTGGCTCCTATAAGTACGTAAGCAAGAAGAAACTGTGAAATAATTATCAAAATTACAAAATTTAATTTCGGTGAAGTCAAAGTTGTCTTGAGCTTGAGACTACGCCTTACAGTACAGGCATGTATAGAATCAAGCTCTTGATCATATTGTAGATTTATATGTGTTCCTGTTTTCCTTGCGTAGTCGGCCATCTTAGCTGGCATCAAAATCATTGCTCATGCATGCTAATGATACGCTTGGTGACACACCCCGGCTGATGTACTCACGCGATCGATTATTGTCAATTAATGTCAAACTCATACTCTTTACTGCTAATTTGGTGTATCGACTGAGAGAACTCTCCATTGGTGGAAGCCTGCCCCGTAATAGTATCCATCATAGAGGTGGACGGAAAGTTGGCGCACGACGAAAGAAGAAGCGTCTTTATCGAGTAGGTCGTCGGAAACAGCGTCCAATGAAATACCACCATGGCGAAAGCCATGTCAATATTATTGCTTGTGGAGATCGTCATGTCAAGCCTTTAAAAGAGGATGTCAGTAACGGCAGACATTAGCCACATACTGTGTCCTCAATCGCGACCATTCCCTACGTGTCCATCCTAAGAGCATGACCGGTGGCTCACGATTTCACACCGCCTCGACGGTTCGTGACGAGATCAAATTTAGTTGTTGTTGAATGTCAAGCTGTTGTGAAGCCGCAATTGCGGCATTTTGGAGTGTTATATTTCACCTCCCAGTCCTGCAGGAATAAGACAGCCGAGGTGTGTGATCTTGTCTTGGAGAGCAGGGCCGACCTTGTGTTCATTACCGAGAAGTGGTTTAAACGTGTCGGAGATGAGGTGACGCTGCAAGAAATTAACCCCCCGGACTACGTCCTTCACTCTTGCCCACAGCAGTCGTACAGTGGTGGGGGTATTGCCGTACTTTACAGGAACTCCCTTAAAAACAGTGTGGCCTTCTCAAAATCGGACGAGTTTGTTTCTTTTGAAATGTGCAAAAAAACTTAATTACTGTGAACAAGCGATGACGTTTCTGTGCATATCCAGGCCACCTCCAAATAAGCAAATTAAGTTGAAGATCTGTCAGTTTACTTTTGAGTTTATACAACTCCTTGACATGTATGCCACCACCAACAACAATGTCATCATAATCGGTGACATAAACTGCCATTTTGACTCCACCACCGACAGGTACGTGAAGACCCTAAAATCACACGGAATGACTCAGCTTGTCAGTGTCCCGACGCAGAAGCGAGGTCACATCCTAGATTGGCTGGTTGTCAGAGAGGACTGCGCAACTATGATCCGAAACCTCATTATTGAGGACAAACTTATTTCCGATCACTTCCCAGTCACCTTTGACTTTGACTTGAGGAAGCCAGGACGCCTTCTGCGATCTGTAACATCCCGTGACCTCCGACAGATAGATCTAGCGGCCTTTAGATGTGACGTCGCAGCCCTTGGGTGCAGTGAAGATGACCCTGCTACAGACTACAACAGTGGCCTCAGAGTCATTTTAGACAAACATGCACCACTGTCTACACGGCGAGTTACGGACCGCCCTTCCGCCACATGGCTCACGCTGAAATTAAGGACGCTAAGCAGAAGCAGCGACGTGCAGAACGCCAATGGTGGAAGTCGGTCTTGACTGTGCACCGACAAATCTTTGTTGACCATAGGGAACGAACCAAGAGGTTGGTCCTTGCAGCTAGGACTGAGCATGTTAGTCATCAGATTACAGGCAGCAGCTCAAGCAAGTACCTATTTCGCATTGTGAGTCAGCTGACCGATAAAAACAAGTCTACATCTCTGCCAAATAACATTGCTGTAGAAGAGCTGTCAGACGCTCTAAATGACTTCTTTATTACAAAAGCTAAGAAGATCAGGGCGAAACTTGACAGTTGCATCGATACTGCTCCAGAATTCTAACTATTCAAAGGCTCTCCTATGGGTGAATTTCTTGAGGTCAGTGAATCGAATGTGAGGAAAATCCTGGTTAATACCCCATGAAAGTCATGCTTACTCGACCCTCTTCCAACAAGGCTGTTGTATGAATGTCTGGATGAAATAGTCCCCACCATCACTTGTATCATAAATAGGTCCTTGGCATCTGGTATTCTTCCATCAACTTTTAAAGAGGCAATAGTAAAGCCACTGTTAAAGAAAGCAAATCTTGACTTAAATGTGATGGAAAATTATCGCCCCCATCTCAAATCTACCATTTGCATCCAAAATCTTAGAAAAAGTCGTTCTCCGCCAACTCCTGGATCACCTCATTCATTGTGACTTTTTCCAGTCAGCATACAGGGCGCATCACTCTACTGAGACAGCCCTGTTGCGCGTCATAAACGACCTTCTGTCGTCTTGTGATGAGGGCCAGGTATCCATTTTGTCTTTACTCGATTTATCGGCAGCTTTAAATACGCTTGACCACGGCATACTGCTCCAGCGTCTGCAAAAAACGTTCGGTCTCACCGATACCGTCCTGAGATGGTTTCACTCGTATATGACAAATCGGGTCCAGTCAGTTATTTCAAACGGCTTGACCTCGAAGCAATTTATAATTGAATTCTGAGTACCCCAGGGCTCGGTCCTAGTCCCGATGCTTTTCACTATGTACGTTCAGCCACTGGGTGCAGTGATCAAGCAATTTGACATGCTGTATGACATGTTCGCGGACGATACACAACTTCATCAATCCGTGATCCCCTCTCAGTTCTCTCAACTTCTTACGACACAGAAGACAGTGGAGTCAGTTAAGCACTGGATGACCATAAACAAGCTCAAATTGAATGATAAATAGACTGAGCTGATCCCCATTGCCACTGCTCAGAAACAAAAATCTGTAAAACACACAACATCACTTACTCTCTCAGGTATGCAGATAGAGTTTGCTCATACAGTGCGAGACCTGGGTGTCTATTAAGACAGAACACTTACTATGGAAAATCATATTAACATGCTTTGCAAGGCAATTTTCCTAGAGCAGCGCAGGATAAGTCATATCAGAGCTTTATTAACGTGAGATGCATCAAAGAGGCTGATGTCTGCATTTGTGCTATCACGCATGGACTACTGCAATGCTCTCATGGTGGGTCTCCCAGCTACGCTCCTGGATAAAATTAAAAGAGCACAGAATAATGCGGCTCGCGTTGTTCTCCGCAAACGCAAATTTGACCATGCTAAAACACTTCTGAGGGAGCTGCACTGGCTGCCGGTCCGCGCTCGCATAGAGTACAAAATTGCAACTTTGTGCTACCGCTGCTTACATGACCTGGCGCCATCTTATCTCAAAGCACTCATGACGCCTTATGTACCCACTAGAGAGCTCCGCTCATCCGATAGTGGCAAAGTATCGATACCGTGTGTTCGCCTTGAGACTTACGGAAAGCGCACTTTTGCATTTGCTGGTCCAACAATTTGGAACGCCCTTCCAGTCGCTCTCAGAAACAGCCAGACACTGGAGTCCTTTAAAATCCATTTAAAAACACATCTATTTCGCAAACACCCTCTGGGGTGATGCTATCTACCATCTTTTTCAGTTAATGTATATTGGCTTGAGTTGCTTATGGTCGAAACGGGATGAAAGACTTTGACTGGGTATGCTCGCGTATGTAGCTTTATATTGTTGCGTCTGATTTTAAATGTGGTAAATTTTAGATTGTTTTTATTTCTCTTTTTAATATGGTTGACTTAGTACCGCGCTTCGAGCTTTTGGGGATGAAGCGTGTCTTTCAAATAAACTTTATTATTATTATTATTACTTACTTACTTCAAACCACTTATCCATTTGATTGGTTAGAGCAGGTGTCCTCAAAACAACAGACAAGACCCACTTTCCAGAATCCTTAACTCTGGCGGTGGTAAGGATAATTTGGTAGTGACGAATATGGAACAGGATGCTCTGAGCAAAAAGCAGGCCCATGCTTTGCAGATTAAAATAGTTTTTTTTTTTCTGTCTATTTTTGTCCCACTAGAAACAATACAGATTGTTGTACTTTATGCCTTCAAAACTGCACTCAAAACACATCTCTTTAAACTCTACTATCCTGACTTTTTCCCCCCTCTGACCGATAAACAATGCTGCTGGGTGCCATCCATGGCTTGCAATGTAAATAGTTATGGAATGGGTGGACTGAATATACATTTGTTTTGTTTTATTTAATTAATGTATGTTAATTTTCAAGTTCATGATTATGTGTATTAAATTGTATGTACGGTGGTGAGCCCACCCCTAGGCTGGGGTACTGCGCTATATAAAACTACTACTATTAAAATATTAATAATGTACTAACTTTAAATTCTTAAAATTCTTAAAACTATAAAAATTCCTCATGCAACAACAAGTAAACTATCTGATTGAAATAGAATCCTAGTAGGATTGGTTGAACAGTCCTATATTTAACTTCCTGGTGGGGAAATGGATTAGTAACAACACACTTTAGTACATATATATATATGTATAATATGTATAATTTTGCTGTTAAGTTCTGTTTTCATACGGTCATGCTCTTGAGCGTGGCTTTAAGAAAATTAAGCTCGTCGTCAAGTGCTTTTTTGTAAGTGGATGATTGTTAATGTGTTTGACTGAACAAACCAATTGATGCAGCAGGCCCAGAACACACATTGTCTGTAGGCTTTGAATTATCAATGATAAAATTAACAGCAAAACGATTAACAATTTAAGAAAGAGGCCTGAAACAATGAAATTTGGGATTGGCCAGGGTGGTGTGGTTAGTTTTGGGCATGTGAGTAATCATGTAATATATAGGCTTGGTTTGGCTTCCTTCCTTTCCGTTTGTTCACTGCTGAGTCAGGAAATAAAAGTCTTAGATAATTGATGTATAGAGATTCATGTAGTACATTAAACACCAACTCCGTACTTCGATACACCATCTACCTCCACCGCCTTGAAACACCAGCCTCCCCGTTCTTGGTACGCCAACTCTCCACCTTGATCCCCCCCACACTTTTTTTCAAAGCTTAGAACCTGTTAAGTATTTAAAAGGCCATGATTAAAATATTCAATGCCCTTGACGCCATGACATAGAATCTGCATTTATTTTCGGTGGTTTATACATTTAGAGCTCATGATAATTTATCAGTATGCAACTCAACAAAGTCGGAAACAGTTATTGGAAGAGAGGTTGCAGGGGTGGTGGTGGTTGGGAACTTTGTTTCGCACTTGATTGTGGGCAGCAGATGAAATGAAATAGGTGGCTTTTTTTTTTTTAGTGAATATTATCAGATAGATTTAGCGATCACCTTTGCATCAACGAACAAAGCAAACAATGTCCGGTTTCATTTGAGTTCAATAAAAATAAGCTCAGAGCCCCCCCCCCAACCCCTTGCTGCTTTAGGGCTATTCTATCTTTCACCAACCTGACAACTTTGGTTTTAATCAACAGCTTTTATACGAAAATACCTTTTTTTTTTGTGTGTGTGATAAAACATTCGCCTTCCCCTTCTCATGTGTACATGCAGTCCGCTTGTACTCTCTTGTCTCCGTACACACAAATGTTTTCTACCATTTCTGAGAGCGAGAGATGGATGCTGGGTTTCTTGACCTTTCCTCTTATCTTGGCAGCATATCATTGGTTCTGTTGTTGGAAGAGAAAGGCTTTGGTGGACATATTCAGTTTGTGATATATCATGTCGTCAGGTTTTAACTTACCAAGTGTTTCATGTGTCTTCTTTATATTTATAACTGGATCCCTTTTTTTTTCCCAATATCATTCCTTTAAAAATAATAGCATAAATAAAATTTTGGGCTCATGTTGATTTGTTTCATACACCATTATTTTTTTTTTGCTTTTATTATAAGTTGGCCTAGAGCCAAACGGAGATGTTGATTTCTTAAATTGAATTTGTATCTTTCAGTCCGTCAAGGATGGTTCCATTTTACCAGCTGATTACAAAGATGGCTTCTTGACTATCACCCTTTCAGATAATGAAGGTAGTATATTAGGTGACCCTGTTTTATCAATATCTGTAGCCTGGTCTGGAAAAAAATGAAGAAAATTGGATACTTGTTGGTTAATAGAAAAGCCCTACAGGCTATAATTTAATGATGTGTAAAGGTATGTGCTCTTTGAAATTTAAAAAAAAAAAAAAATAAATAAAGATTACATCAGTTTGAGTAACAACCTTTTATCATTTATAACTAAAAAAAAGTTTAAAAATCATTGTTTTAAAAAAAAAGTTATTTGTTAGCAGATTTGTTTTTCAACTGGTATGTTATAATATTAGTAGTATCCTGATATCACAGCCTCTGATATTACATAATATTTGTAATTTTGTTGCAGTGTGTTGAAAGATTTCAAAAAAAGAATTGAAAACTGTTAAGACAAGTCCATTGTAAAGTACTTGCTTTTTTTTGTTTTTTTTAATGTCCATAGAAATAACTTGTGAAACAGACATGAACTCACCAGCTGCAAAATGTATTCCTGAAGCAGAAATGGGGAGATGGGACGGAACCAGCGTAGGGCAGTCTGGTTCCAGCTCAGGTACATATTTTTTTAGTGGGGTTTTTAAATGTCTTGGTGAGTGAAACTCGTAAACTGCGAGTAGCGTACATAGTTTATGGATGTTGATTTATGTGTTGACATAAAACATATATGCTTATAAAATATGTTTCTGGCATCTAGGATTTATCTAGAGGTATAACGGGCGCATTATAACAGGGCTACGTTGTATGTAACTAGTATGTTTGTATGATCCATTGGCATCTAGCTTCTAACCCGTATGTTCTTAAATTGTATGTGTCTTAACATGTATACTAATTAAAATTATACCATTTAAAAGATCAATTTAAGCACCTTAATAATATAACCTTTTGTTTTTCTGTTAGTTTTAGTGACATAAATTTTGTTGTAACTAGAAAAATATCACCGCATCGAGTTTTAGCGGCATTTTAAAAGATTGTTTCTTACCCCCCTCTGTCTCAATTGCTTGGCTCTTTTACGCTATTTATAGAATGACCTCAGAATTTTGTAAATTGCATGCAGCAGTGAATATCCTTTAATCTTTAATATGAGCAGATTGCTGGTCCATTTTTACACAAAATACCAAACAATGCTAAAATATGAAGTCGAGAGCGACCGAGCCCATTTCCCAAACAGGGCTGCTAACGATCTCGTCTATTTTTAGCCTTTTTGTTGCCAGAGCGCTAGTGTTCTCCCCTGCGCACGCGCTTTGACCGTTACACGTTTCGAGTACCGTACTACTTCAATAGACCAGAACTATTTCTTTTCTGTTCACATGGCCGATCAAGAGATATTTGAAGTGTTTGGGTAAGCCAAGTGTAAAAGGTAGTAAATATTTTTTTGAATTTAGTTTTTAATTGTTGGGTAACCATTATTATTAATAGAAAACTACTCGTCCAAGCGCTGTCTAACAAGGCTAAGCTTAGCGTACTTTGTTATGTTTTACTGTATCTGTACTGTATGCAGGTGGCATGTATTTTTCATTAGAAGAACAATGCAGCGTTTAACTTTTTTTGTGAAGACTTCTTAAGTTCACTTCATGGGCGCCCGCCGAAAACTTTCTAGGGGGGGGG